ATCAGGTATAATAAAATTGAACAAAACAGTACAGAACAAAACCAATAAAATCTAAACATTGGAGACATTACAGGCCTTCAAAAGAAGACAATAGTCAAACCAGAGTGGGCATCATAGTGAACCTTATTGCCTTCAAAGTAGTTGCCTATACCCTCAAACTTGATACTAATCAAGCAGAATAGAATAGAGTGAAATCAGTCAAAACAAAATGGTAAGAGTAATACAGGGCTTCAAATCAATTTAATAGGAAATCAAAAAAGTTACTATAATATATCCAGCTAATTTTTAAAAAATATTTTCTCTTAATTAAAAAAATAATAAAAAATAGATAAAAATTTTTAAAAAGGGGGAAATTGAGATAAAAGAGGACATAATAACATAACAATACAGGTCAGAACAGAACAATTTAAGCAACATAGTGTTTCACCACAAGATAACCTGACTTTAATAGTAGTTACCATAGTGTCTCTTTCCTTGAAATATTAGAGTATAACTTCATATACTGTAGCATCAAACATATCAAGATATAAATACATAAAAGTATGCGATAATCACGATTCCCCATTATATGGCTTTGAAGCCTTATAAAGTTTTCACTCATTAATTGGAATGGTTTTATTCTGGGCTGTTTGATTTTATTGTCTGTGATGATATGAACAGCTATTTTGAAGAAAACTAGATATCATAATAGCTAGTGCTGATTTAGTATCATCTTGTTTTGAAGTTCCACCAAACAGTTGTTATGCTATCTCCATTGTTTTTATCATATTGTATCTTATTGGATTTTATATGTGATAGTATAAACAAAAATTTTTATAGGCAAAGAGACAATATAGAAACCATTGTTCATTTTTTGTTATCTGGTTCTAAATGTCCTGTAATACTTTCATCCTCTTGAAAGGATTCATGCCTTCTTGAAGGACCAAGAGGATAGTGAGATCAGTGTCTCAAAGCAACCAGTCAGCTTTCTCAGCCTCAAATAGGACATGAATTTAACTTGCACAATGTAAAAATGAAATATATTTACTATAGACCTACAAGAAATTTTTCATTTTAAAGAAATTGCACATGTTCTAGATAAAAAAAAGTAGACTATGTCAAATGGAGATTCATGTCTTTGAAATATAATTTCCAAGGAAATAGCCTCTACATCTCTGTGGACGGTTATTTGCCTAATTTCGATAAATACCACTTAGCAAACCCAAGTGGCACAATCACATTGAACAACCTCCCCTCAATGTGCCCCAGCACCATTCTGTCAGCTTCCCCAATGCCTAAAACCTTGCCTGCCTTGTGTTTCCTGGGAGGTGATTCCAACTTCTCTCCCTATTGCAAATTCTTGACCCCTATTGCAATAGTCTCATAATTTTTTCCTTCCCATTTTTTTAGTTTTTGTTGCAACTTTCTTGTAAAATGCAAAAAATTCATTTATTCATTTTCAAGTTGACCAATCACAATGATGTATAGTTTGAAGTTTTGATACACATCTGCATTGTGAAATTATCAAATCAGGGTAGCTAGCACGACCCTAACCTCACACATTTATCCCTCAATAGTAATGAATGTTCAAAATGCCCCTTTCCAGTTATTTGGAAATGTAGAAGTTGTTATTGTTGACTACAGTCATGCTGTTGTGTAACAGTCACCAGAACTCATTCCTGTTCTCGAGCTGTGGATCGAGACCCACTGACCAACCTCTCCTTACCAGTCCCTGTACCAAGTTCAGTCTCTGGTAACCACTGTACCCTTCTCTGTTGCCTTCACTGGTGTCATTCAAGATGCATAATTACATTCATCCTGGAGAGCTGTGCAGACAGACATCACACCATCACATTTTTATCTCCACGTCCCCTCTGATCCTTCACTTTCCCTCAACCCCACATCCCTTTTGTTCATCGGATTACTTATATTTTGGGTTTTTCATGTAAGAGTAACCATATGACATTTAAACCTGTGTCTGATTTATTTTACTTTGCTTTACAATCTCAAGATATATCTGTTTACCTACAAATGGCTTAAATTTATCTTTCTGTGTGGCTATCTGCAGCTGTAGCCTTATACTCATTCATCACTGACTGGCATACAGACTCCTTCCAGAATTTATTTAGATGTTATGAATTGGAGTTAAAGTCATGACCTTGTGTCATACACCCATACTTCCTCCTTCCCTGAGATTGATTTCTTAGCTTCCACATCTCAGTAGGAAGACATGGTATTTACCATTCTGTGGCTTGTCTCACTTAAGATAATGTCTTCCACATTTATTTAAGTTGTTGCAAATGATGGGATTTCATCTTTTCATGATTGACTAGTACTCCAGTGTGTGTGTGTGTGTGTGTGTGTGTGTGTGTGTGTGTGTGTGTTACACACACATCCATACCCTACATTCTCCTCAGCTGCCATCCATTGATGGACACTTAGGTTGAGGCCATCTCTTGGCTACTGTGAGTGGAACTGCAGTGAGCATAGGAACATAGTTGTCTCTCCAACACACAGGTATAACTTCCACTGTCGGGTCTGTTTGTGGGCTTGTTTTTCTGCACTATATTTATTACTGAAGCCTAAGGCATAAGCCTAATAGTAGTACTGTGTTATCTAGGCTTCTGGATTGTTTCTTTGCCACTTGAATATGCATAATTTATTTCAGAAACTTAGAGTTTATGGAGACAGGTTCTCAGGTCCAGTGTGATCTGCATCCTTACTGCACCCCGGCCCCTCCATACTTCCACATATGACAATGATTCTCCCTTCACTGTTCCCCAGGCCTGTCCCCAGACAGCACTCCAATTCTTGCCAGAACCTGGACTCTTCCCTCTCTGAGTATCAGCTTCATGGATGCTGGCTCCTGCCCTCAGCCTCTGTCCCTTTGGTCCTCTTATTCAGCTGTCCAGGTGTGTGTTCAGCATCAGGGCTATGTGGCTTCTTCTCCCATGCAACACAGTTGCCTGGAGTCCTGACACTCAGGCTGCAGCTCTGTAATCATAACTTGCTCTGAATTTCCTTCCTTGTGAGGTGTTAAGACTGTGTTAAGTCTGCTTGGTATTTTTCAAGTGCATTATTTGGACTGAGGAGGGCTACTACACTTGTCACTTGGTTGCTGCCAATTAACCATGTGATGCTTCCTCCTGGAGACAAATACAATCATGGATCTGCCCTACAATAACAGAAACTGGTGGTAAACTTAACATCAGCTGAATTAAATCAGCATGGTGCTGAGTGTAGATGGTCCACCTGAGGAAATTTGCTAGCATAAATAGAGACGTGGAGAAGAGCTAGCATTGAGGGTTCTCCTAAGTGTTGCTGTTTGGAGCCCTTGGTTCTCCAGGAGGAGCTTGTCATGCTGGCTTCCCTCATATGAATTCACCTATTATCATCTGAGGAGCTTGGGCCTTGTTGCTGAGAGTGGCGACAATTCACTTTGGGGGAGCTCTGCTCCTTACATTGATCATTGCTTCTTGGCTCTGGAGAGGAAGATGTGTGCTGTTTAATCTCCAGGAGAAGCTTGTCACACTGGCTTCCTGACATATACTTGACTGTTATCATCATCAGAGGGGCCTGGGACCTCCTTGTTGTGGTGGTACTTTTCAGGGCAGTGTGACCTCTTGGCTTCACTGTAGAACACTCAGCCTACTGGCACAGCTTCTCCGTCTCACTGGCATAGACTTTCTGGCTTTTACCACTAACCTTCGGGCCTTCCCAGCAGATCGTTAAAACATACTGGCATGAGTCCTTATCGTGGGCTCTGAACCTCCAGTTGAACTTATGGGAGGCATTGTCACATGGGCTGTAGGTCTTCAGATGGACTCATTACTGTGGAATCCAGGCCCTTGGCTGAATATTCAGAGTCTTTAGTGTTGCAAACAGAGTTCCTGCTCTTTTTTGTATTTAACTCTTGTATAAACCCATAAAATATTATAAATTATATATCCTGATTGTATTTTTTTCCTCACAACCCCTGACTACAACAGAGTGTAAGTCACAGCCATCCTAATGGCCACCCTGGCCATCCATCTGTGTGTGGGGCAACAATTTCAACATAGGTATTTATTGCTTTGGAAGGAGCTCTTTTCATTTTTTCTTTTGCACAAATGGTTTAGTGACCACAACTTGAGGAAGAAGATGATTAAAAACAAAACCAAAAGGGACCATGTGTTAGGCTTCACTATTTACGCTGCTCATGCTAAGTCCAGGGTGGCTCACAAGCCTGACCTCTGTTGGTTCGGGTGCAGATCTTGAGCACATGTCAGCACATATGACAGATTAAAGCCAATTTCATGGCAGTGGCAACATAAGAAACCAGACTGAGGGACATCCAGGGAACATTAGTTCTCATGCACCACTCTCAGAGGTGCTTGATTTGGATACTACTGGACAGTCCTGTGTCACTCACCTATGCACTAGCCAGGCCAGAAGGCCTTTCTTCCCTACAGGGGATCACATGCTGCAGGCATACCAGTCTCTTAGGGAAACCAAACCCCCTACATGGAAGCCCAGCACACATGGAAGCCATGTAGAATCTCACTTGGTCTGTCCAACAGTTTTGATTTGTTGTCCTAATTAGACCCCCTTCCAGGGGATACTAACTGAAACCTGGATTCCAGTTCCTCTTCTGCATGCCCATCGCCATGTCTGTCTCTGTCACATTAACAAAGTGTGATCCATGATAGACAGGCGGGAGTATCCTGCTGCCTTTTAATACTTCCCTGCTCCAGTCACTCAGCGTGAGCCAAAGAGCTCAACACCAAACGGTGCACTGGGTGAAGACTAATGAAGAGAAAAGGACAAGTGCCTGATGAGGTCAGGACAAGATTCACCAAGATGGTGAAGAAGTCCCTCTGGGAAGTCATGTCATGACCCAGCTCCGCACCAAATTGCTCAACTGCCCTTGCACCACCATTGGTTGAAGTACGCAATAGATAGGAAGCCTGACCCAAAAAATCCCAGAGGAGGGCACCTTTTCATGTATCCTATAAATATGGAAGTCTGTCCTGTCAGTGAGCAGTCACAGGCACTTCTTGAGACCTGGGACAGAGGACTGCTCTCTGATCACCTCTGGTTACACTGTCTGGCTCCAGGAACTGTAAGTTTATAAGACAAATTCTTGCTCTCTTGCACTGTGCTGTCCTGGAAACTGAGAAGCCATCTGAGCCCTGAGAGGCTGCTTCCAGGAGCACAAAGGGAATCCCTAGGATTTCCTGAGGGGCTCCTCTGGGTGGGACTGTTGTGGCCAATGGGGAAAGTTGCTCCCTGCTAAGATCACAAGACATGTATAGGTTTTGTTCATGACACAGATGACCTACATGTGCTGCCAGGAAACACAGCCATATCTCTGTAACCACCCTTTTAATATGACAAGTGTCTCTTCATGTTCTTTGCATACTTTTTAATCAGGTTATTCATTTATTTTGCTACTGAGTGGTGTTAGTTGCTTACATATTCTGGATAGTATTCCCTGATCAAATAAATCCTCTGCAAGCTATCTTCAGCTTCCTGGTTTGTGTTTTAACCTAGCTCATTGTGTGTTCTGCTAGGCACAGTGTCCTGGTCTGATGCAAAATCATCTGTCTGCTTCTTCCTTGCTGGCCTGAGCCTCTGCTGTCCTATGTAAGAAATCACTACAGAGATCTGTGTCCAGAACTCTACTTTAGTGTGAAACTCTCATACTTGTATGGTAGCATGTCTCAAAGAGACAACTATCTACATCCCTGGTGTTCTGCTTTGATATACAGTTTAGAACCTAACAAGGAGCAGGGGACATCTTCATAAGTTTAGACCCACTTATTTTCCAAGAGTAGTGAAATAAAACAAAATATTTTATGCAACCAAAATGGTAAAAATGAGAAAAGATATCATCCATAATAATTATGAGCTGGAAGTAAGAATACTGAGGCAAGGCTGTGAGGCTATGGAACATCCTGGGGATGTTCGAGCCACAGCAGCTCTCACCCAGACTATGACACACACCACATCTCTCCTATCTGCACCCTCTGACTCAGCCTCCTCCTCACAGAACAGCAAATATGGGCTGACTTCTCCTCTCCATCCTCCTCTCCCACCCTCCAGGTGACTCCCAGCCATGAGGACCCTTGCCCTCCTCATTGCCTGTCTCCTGCTGGCCCTGCTGGCCCAGGCTGAGCATCACCCACGAGGAGATAACGAAGCTGACTCTGAAATAGAGGGCAAGGGAGAGGAACATGTTGCTGTTCTCTCATTTCCAGAGGAGGAAAGCAACAGTCTTCCAGATGCAGGTGAGAGAAGTCACCAGCACAGACACGAGGTTCAAGTGGGAGGTTGAGAGATGGGCTCTAGAATTAGGTTTCCATTTCAAAGACTGTTTAACTCATTAAGACCTCAGTGAGTCCACAAAACGTTCTTCAAGAAAGAGTTTATTCCAAGGCATTTTAAGATCACTAGGGTCAACACACGAAGACTCCTGTAAACTAGCTCTATCCAGATCTGAATGTAGACTTAGCCATAGGGAGAATATTTCCATCTGTCTATTGGGAGGATGTATAGAAACTGAACATGAGTGTGAGGATTTGTTCACATCAGTATGCTGTAGAGGAGAAGCAGGAGCAAGTGGAGACGCAAGAGACGGGTCTGTCATCTCGGGGTCTCATTACTCAGGTAGACTCCTGTGTGTTTATCCCTGTGTCTGTGGCTCTTCATTCAGTTCTCCATGGTGCATTAAGCCACGGACACCACCCCACACAGCAAGTAGCTGCTCAGGAAGTGCTTTCCATCAGGGCTGCCCAGGATTTCAACCCTGCTGCTCTCTCTGTCTCCAGGTGTCTGGCCACTACGCCGCCCACGCTGCTTTTGCAGACTACACTGCCGTTGTTGAGAACTCACCGTAGGTTTCTGCCCTGAATCGAATCTGCAGATCGTGTTTCTGCTAACTATCCAAGAAAAAAAATCATAGTATTCTTTGAGGCCTAGAAGAGAATTGCTGCTTTCTCTGAGCTATGTCTTCCTTTTTTCTTTTTCCCTAAATAAATTGCTGTGAAATTGCTCTGTATTGGCTTCCTTGAATTTTCCTATGGAGTTTCCTGAGGACTCTGATAGGAAACTAACACAACCTTAAATGACACACTTCTACACCAAGTCTTGGCATCAAATACTAACACTCTTAACAATGACCCCAGAATTCAGGAACTAGCAGAGAAATAGAGCTAAGGCAAGGCTGCACACCTCTGGAGTGGTAACTCCTCTCTTTTGTCTCTTCCATCATTTGATTGACTCTCAAAGGGCATTCTCATGACATAGGCAAGACAATCAATGCTGAGGTAAAATTTATGCAATGTAACGCTTTAATATCTTTTAAAAAATAGCTATCTTTTTCCAGTTTGGTGATGTTTTGCTAAACAGAGCAAAGCCATACATTTCTCATTTAACCTTGAGTTGTGTCCCCTACCAAGAAACAACCTACATTTCCACTGGAAATGTTTCAACAAAAACTGTAAAGAGTGGGAAGAACAGCAGAAAACCTCACTACATTATCCTCATCAGCAAAAGCTTCTACTCACTCAAGGCTGTGTTTGGTACTCATAATGTTGGTTTTCAAAGTCACAAAATACAGGTGCACAATTCTTCAATCACACTTCACAGCATGTGCCCTCTTGGTTTCTCTTAACATCTGAAAAACTGATACCAGCTGTAAAAGAAAGCTTCAAATAACTTCCCAGGCAGAAAAGAAGGTATTGAAGTCTGTGATCCCAGATATCCATGCTTCCCATGGTTCTCAGGCTGGTAAGGATCTCACACTTAGGATGTGGGGCAGCTCTGATGCTTCAGGAAGGGACCTGGGGCTCAGGAAAAGACAGAAACATCTATACTGACCTAACTTCAGAGTCAGGATGGTGTGGTCACAGCCCTGCCCACTGCCCTGTGGCCAACGCTGTCTCCACTGACATTAAGGCTCTGAGGGCAGCAACCTTCAGGGAAATTTCCTCTTTTATCCCAGTAGGGCATGTCCACAGCTAGCTCTGATCTCTAAAGGGCCAGTGCTACGCTTTTGAGGGTGGAGTGTAACTGGTTTTTGCCTTCCCAGATGCTGACAACTGCATGTCTTTCAGATGCCTCTCGTGAGACCACATCACACCTTGCAAATGAATGCATCGGCCTGAGACCCCAGTGCTGGCACTGACGCAACAGTTTCCCCTGTGTGACTCCATAGCACACGTGCAGAAAAGGAGTATCTGATTGCACATGCCAGCTCTTATGGATCTGATCACAGGCAGTGTGGCATGATATATAATAGGGTGACAGAGAGCCAATTGTTTTGAGGGAAAGACAGACTGACTTAGGACCACTTACCCTTTGACACTAGAACACTGTAATACTGGGTTCAGACACAGCCATGAGCACAAACACCAACCACAAATCCAAGACCTCAGCAAGCCAGGGTCCTCTTTCCAAATGTTCCCTCCACTGGGTCTCTGAGGCAGGTCTCAGCATTGCATGGTCTGTCTGTCTATTGGTCTGTCTGTGTAACGACAGTGTGGGGCCCAGTGCCCACCGAAAGAGGAAACCTGTGGGTCTGGCACACACACACACACACACACACACACACACACACACACACAAACACACACCAGCATTTCCTCCTTGAGTACAGGATGAAGGTCTCAGGTCAGGATTTAGGCAAGGAAAGTCAGGCTGCTGCTCAAGGCTCCTGTGATAATCACTGGCATAGATTTGAGTCATACATATAATTATTCCTATGCCCACATTGGAAATGAGACCAGTCCTGTTTCTCCGTTCCAGCATCCATCCTGCACCTCGATGCATCCAGTCCCCTCTATGGCACTGTGGACTCTCCTCAAATGTCACTTTGTCACTGAGCTCTCTCCTGATTCCACACTTTAAATTGCACAACATTACCCATGTTGATCTCTAACCAACATTGTTTTATTGGCTTTTTAGGCACAGAATGAAAATAATATCACTTATACACATTTTAGTTACAGAATTTCTACAACAAATTTTCCTGTACTAGAATGAAAGCACCATACTTTGCTCATTTTTGCACATACTTCTTACAGAGCTCTTAAATATATAATTAGTTACTCAAAAGTTTTTTTTTATTAATTTAATTAATTTGTTTCAGATCTACTTAACTTTATGAATTTATATTACTGTTCCTCACATTCAACACTACAGACATGAAGCAGATCTCAAGGCAGTTTTATGACAGTTTACATTATAAGAACCAACTGATATCCTATAGATCTAAATATAAGATAATACACATGCAGTAATAAAATCTGCTAATAAGTAAATGTGGCTCCCTGGATATTAAAACTATAACATAAAAGTATGGAAAGGATAGATTTTATTGTGCTTCTTATTCAAAAGCACAAAAGATTAACACAATCGGATACAGCAAGAGAAGGGTAGAGCAACCCTGTAGACAGAAGTAGTGGTGTAAAGACAAGGTCATAATAGCTCAGATCTAATGCCATCAGGGTTGAGAAAGAGATAATGGGAGATTATAGGGTGAAACAGCTTTCCCAGCAGACATCTCAGGATATCCCGTCTGTCTGTAGCATAAGAAACACCAGGAGTACCTCATCCAGTGGTAGGTATGACACCTGCTTTAGGCCGTGACACATGGTAACTCTAGGGACAATATAGTGACAAAGATGGAAAGAATCTCCAAAGAACAAGGGCAACTTGGAAGTCTCCAGTGAACTCCCAAAATCAAAAATGCCATGCATGGAAACAACATACCTACTAAACAAAAACAGGACATATGACATAATTAAAATGAGTCACTGGTGTGAAAAGACAAGAAAATAAAAAGGAAGTCAGGTGTGGAGCCAGCCCTCAGAAATGTAATTGGCTTCGTCCCCAGCAGATGAGGAAGCCTGAGTTCAGTGGGTCCATTTCCCACCCACAGACCAACTAACTCCAATGAGCAGCCTCCCCAGGGACAGGCTCCTGCACCGCACCTCAAATCCACCACAGTGCTTGCAAACGCGCCCTGTGCTTTTGTGTTGTTGGACTCAACCTGTGCCTTGTTGCCTGCTCCCATTCTCACTGCAGTTGTCTGAATGAGATTTTCCTTTCCACTTTAAAAAATGCCTGATGAAATCTTGCTTTAAAAATACAATGTATTTGTTTATTTATTTGGTTTGTGAATTGAAGCAAAGGAATTGCACAACTTTATGTCATCAATTGTGCAGTACAGGTGTGTGCATACATTGTACAGTAATGAATTTTGGGTAATTAGAAGATCTATTACCTCAAACATTTATCAAGTACATGTGGGGGATAATCAGAATCCTAGGTTTCCACTGGGTTAAAATCTAAAGTGTGGGCTCTAGTGATACTGCCACACAATAGCACACCAGAAATTGTTCCTATTAACTGTAGCTCTTTCTATGTCATGAGCCTTTCTTCAGTCTCTGCTCATGCCTCCCTCTTGCCTCAGGACCTGATCAGTCTCCTCTGTACTTCTATTGGTTCAATTGTTTTAAATTTATGAAATATTTATAAGTCAAATTCATTGAATTTCTACATTGTGTGTCTTTTGCATTTGCTCTTCTCCCATAGGTAAATGTATTAGTGAAAACTTAGGATGACAGCATATTCTGGCTATTGAGAATAAAGCTGCAATATCCAAGAGAGTAGCAGGATTTCTCTGATATACAGAATTTAAATCCTTTCCTGTGGCTTACTTCTGTGTCTGGATATCTGAACTCTTCTGACAAGCACAACTTTACCCAAACTTTCCTTTTATAGTGTCAAGCAGTGGTCTTCAAACCAGGTCACAATGCATTACTGAAATCAGGCCAAACAGCAGGTGGTGAGCACGGGCCATTGGGCAAATCTCTTCCTGTATATACCAGAGTTCAGTGCTTCCCTTACCACCTGATTTCCACCTCCCATCAGCTCAGAGGCTGCACTAGATTCTCATACAGGCATAAACTCTACAATGCAGGGTGCATGTGAGGAATCTCACTGTAGACTCCTTTGAGTCAATACAAACCATTCACAAAACACACCATCTTCATCCACAGAAGAGTGAAACTCCTCTTTCATGGTGCCAAAAAGGGTGGGGAACATAGTCATAAAGGTTATGGGAAAATAATATGAAAAAATAAGCGAATGCATGCTAATGTAAACAGTCTCAGCTCACCAATACGAAGGGAAAGACTGGCAGGATGAATCAAGAGGCAAGATGCCACACTATGCTGTCTTTAAGAAACACATTTAACTGAACAAGAAATTCATAGACTTAGAGTCAAAGGTTGCAAAGCAATACAATATGCCACAGGAACTCAGAAAAATGCAAGATAGATAGCTATTTGCAGACAATATGAACTTTAAGCCAAGAATGTCCAAAGAGACAAAGAAGGTCACTGTGTACTTCTTAAGGGAAAACTTCAAGCAGTAGACATGACAATCATAAATACATATGCACTAAATAACAATGTACCTGCTATAGAAAAAAATAGATATGAAAAATCAAAGAAGTACTAGCACAATTGGAATGTGGGACCTTAACACATCATCCTCACCTAGACAAAATTCAATAAGGAAATGCCAGAATTACACCAAACCTGTGAACAAATGGCCTTAGTAGTTGTCTACAGAGTGTTCTATACTACAACGTCAGAATGCACATTGATCTCAGTAGCACAGGAGATGTTCTCCAAAACAGACCACATGGAAGCCAGAGAATATGCTTAAGGAAACACAGAGGAAATGAAATAAGCCCAGATATGTGATCTGATCATAGTGCAATGAAATTAGAAATCAACAGCAAAACAAATCACCAAACCTACACTAACACACAGAAATTTAACAACACCCTTCTAAATAACTAGTGGCTCACAGAAGAAATTAAAGAAAAAATTAAACATTATCTACAATTAAATGTTAACACAGATAAAAATATCTCAAATCGTATGGGACATAATGAAAGCACTTCTGTACAAAGAAATTTATAGCAGTGAATTCTCACATCAGAAAAAACAGAATGAACTCAAACAAGCAAGCTAATGT